CAGTCACCACCTCTATGGCGGCCCCTCCACCCACAGCCCCACCCCCCTCGGGGACGTTCCCTCCATTTCCAGGAGATGACACACAACTCTACTACTCTTTTCCACCTAACTCCAAGGAAGCCCCTCAAATGCTAGACGAGTGTCTGGCAGCTGTGGCTGTCTGGATGAGGATGAACAAGCTGAAGATTGATCCCAACAAGACAGAGGCCCTCTTGGTCGATCGTAAACCAGCCCGGAGTATAGGGTGGCAACCTGTGCTAGACGGGGTTGCACTCTCCCTGAAGTCACAGGTCCGCAGTCTGGGGGTCCTCCTGGATTCTTCACTTACGTTTGAGGCTCAGGCGTCGGTGGTGGCCGGGAGGGCCTTTGCACAACTAACACTCGTGCGCCAACTGCGACCGTACCTCGGGAAGGTGGATCTGGCCAAGGTGGTCCATGCCTTAGTCACCTCTAGACTGGATTACTGCAATGCGCTCTACATGGGGCTGCCCTTGAAAACGGCCCGGAAATTTCAGATGATCCAACGGGCGGCAGCCAGTTTGTTAACTGGGGCTCCTTACAGAGAGAGGTCATCCCTCCTGTTTAAGGAGCTCCACTGSCTGCCTTTCATCTACCGGACCCAATTCAAGGTGCAGGTTCTTACCTACAAAGCCCTGAACGTTTTGGGCCCCGCCTACCTGCGTGACCGTATCTCTGTATACGAACCCACACGATCTCTTCGATATTCCGGGGAGGCCCTGCTCTCAATCCCACCAGCATCGCAGGTGCGGTTGGTGGGGACGAGAGAGAGGGCCTTTTCGGTGATGGCCCCTCGACTCTGGAACTCACTCCCTAAAGACATCAGACAGGCTCCAACCTTGGCAGTCTTCAGGAGGAACTTGAAGACGTGGCTGTTCCAGTGTGCCTTCCCAGAATAATGATCCCATAGCACTTTGTTCTCCAAAGCACTTTATATTTTCTGGGTCTGCTCGTATYCCCTTCCATAAACACCTGCACCATCCTCCYTRCATGTCCCAGCATATTTCCAATTTTAACTTTACATTTGGCCTCCCRTCTGTTTTTAATTGTGTGTTGTTTTATTGATAATGTTGTTTATCTTATTGTTTATGTTTTTAAATTGCTTGTATTGTGGTTCTATTGCTTGTATTGTTGTGTTCGGGCGGGAAATCAAGAGTCCAAACCGAACTCAGAGTCCCAAAGTCAAGCCAGAAAGCCAGGGATACAAACAAAGTCCTGGTTCATAAATGAAACCAGAAGTCAGTCCAGAATTTATAATCAACTATTCAGGATACAACAAAGGGTTGAAAAGGGTGACAGGTACATGGCTAGAGGCCAAAATTCTAACCGAGGGGCAACAGAGCCAAGACGTGAGACGAGGGTATGAAGATATGACCTCTGTACCAATCTTGGGGGGGTGGTGTGTAGTTTGGGTTCTTAATTTGGGGGGGGGAGGAGATTTTGGGGTTTTTTATGGAGTCTTATCTGTCTACGACCCTAAGGCTCTTCTTTTTTTAAACAGGACCCTTTTCTCCAAGATCTTCACTGCTGCTCCCTTTCCAGCAAACCTCCACCATCTCCCCCTAGAACCCTGTGATTGGTTCTTATGGAGGAGTCTAGGGAATCGGCCCTTCGAAGAGCTTGCTGCAATGCTTGAGTAAAATCTCGTGGCTTCTGAGTGAGACCTGTCTGCGCACGGTTACAGCCGTTTCGACGCACGAGGTGTCCGACACAAAACTAGGTCTCTGGTAAAGAGAAGAGAGGGAGTGGGGGGGTGCTGTCTGGCTTTCCTCTTATGCCTTTCCAATATTTTTTTTTGAAGAGGTGCTCCAGAAAGGCTGAAAGGGAAGGTGCTCCTCTAGGCGCGGATGAGTTCGCACTGAGTGTTTATTGTATGTGGTGGCTGAACGTTCGTTATAATAGAAAGGAGGCTCCATTCCCACGTCCAATGCCATTTATATGGCTGTCTCTTATATATCGTGGTTGCATCCTTTGAAACTGAAATGGCAATAGTGATTGGAGACGTAGTAATTCTCGCGGTATATAGTTTACTTTCTTGCACTTGTACCACTTTCTCCTCACGCACCTCTATGCCTACTTGCTCTATTGCTTTGCTGCGACTGAAGCTCTTTCCACATTCCACGCATTTATGTGGCTTCTCCCCTGTGTGGATCCTTTGATGGGAACGTAGAGTGCCACTCTGACTGAAGCTCTTTCCACATTCCATACATTTATAAGGCTTCTCCCCCGTGTGGATCCTTTGATGGGCACGAAGATGTCCACTGTGCCTGAAGCTCTTTCCACATTCCATACATTTATACGGCTTCGCCCCTGTGTGTATCGTTTCATGGGAATGTAGACTGCAACTGTAACTGAAGCTCTTTCCACATTCCATACATTTATACGGCTTCTCCCCTGTGTGCATCCTTTGATGGGCACGCAGATTGCCACTGCGACTGAAGCTCTTTCCACATTCCATACATTTATATGGCTTCGCCCCTGTGTGGATCCTTTGATGGTTATGAAGCGACCCACTCTGACTGAAGCTTTCTCCACATTCCATGCATTTATGTGGCTTCTCCCCTGTGTGGATCTTTTGATGGGCACGCAGATTGCTACTGTGACTGAAGCTCTTTCCACATTCCATGCATTTATATGGCTTCTCCCCTGTGTGGATCCTTTGATGGGAACGTAGAGTGCCACTCTGACTGAAGCTCTTTCCACATTCCATGCATTTATGTGGCTTCTCCCCTGTGTGGGTCCTTTGATGGGTACGCAGATGTCCACTCGACTGAAGCTCTTTCCACATTCCATGCATTTATGTGGCTTCTCCCCTGTGTGGATCCTTTGATGGTAACGCAGTTGTCCACTCTGACTGAAGCTCTTTCCACATTCCATGCATTTATGTGGTTTCTCCCCTGTGTGGGTTCTTTGATGGGTGCGCAGATGTCCACTGTGACTGAAGCTCTTTCCACATTCCATGCATTTATGTGGCTTCTCCCCTGTGTGGATCCTTTGATGTGTACGCAGACTGTCACTCCGACTGAAGCTCTTTCCACATTCCATGCATTTATGTGGCTTCTCCCCTGTGTGGGTCCTTTGATGGGTATGCAGATCTCCACTCTGACTGAAGCTCTTTCCACATTCCATGCATTTATGTGGCTTCTCCCCTGTGTGGGTTCTTTGATGGATACGCAGATTCTCCACTGTGACTGAAGCTCTTTCCACATTCCATGCATTTATGTGGTTTCTCCCCTGTGTGAATCCTTTGATGGATACGCAGATTTCCACTCAGACTGAAGCTTTTTCCACACTGCATGCATTTATGTGGCTTCTCCCCTGTGTGAATCCTTTGATGGATACGCAGATTTCCACTCAGACTGAAGCTTTTTCCACACTGCATGCATTTATGTGGTTTCTCCCCTGTGTGGGTTCTTTGATGGGCACTCAGACCCACACTGTGACTGAAGCTCTTTCCACATTCTTTGCATTCATATGGCTTCTCTCCTGTGTGGGTCCTTTGATGGGAATGTAGGCTGTTTTTCCGACTGAAGCTTTCTCCACATTCCATACATTTATGTGGCTTCTCCCCTGTGTGGGTCCTTTGATGGGAACGCAGATGTCCACTGTGCCTGAAGCTCTTTCCACATTCCATGCATTTATGTGGCTTCTCCCCTGTGTGGGTCCTTTGATGGGCATGCAGATTGCCACTGCGACGGAAGCTCTTTCCACATTCCATGCATTTATATGGCTTCTCCCCTGTGTGGATCCTTTGATGGGCATGCAGATTGCCACTGCGACGGAAGCTCTTTCCACATTCTATGCATTGATATGGCTTCTCCCCTGTGTGGGTCCGTTCATGTACAGTAAGTTTACTTTTCCTATCAAATTGTTTTCCACACTCCATACACTGATGTAACTTCTCCCCTGTGTCTGATCTAGGAAAGGGAGGTAGAGTGCTTGCCATTCTTTCACATTTATAATTCAAATATGATGCCAGGGGTTCACAGATATAACCTCCTGAACAGGACAGTTTTTGTCTTGCTGTAGCCTTCTGCTTGGTTTCCCAAGCCTCTCTTTCTACAGCAAAATCTTATTTCCTCCCTTAACTGCACAGGAATGTAGCTTCAAATATATTTTTCTAGTACTTATTTTTCTTGTTGTCATTGCTGTGTATCTTGAAGTCACTTTGAACTTACAGCACTCCTCAGGCAAAGCTCTCACAAGGCGTTCTTCGCAGAACTTGTTCCGAAGTTACCTGCCAGAGAAATGAGAGGGAAATCTCTTTAGGAATTGAACAGAGAAAGATCTCATGGAACACGAAGAGGAAGTCTAGTGCTGTAGCAAACCCAGAGGAAGAGGGAAGCTGCCCATTGCCAGGTGACAAATACTTTAACGCTTGCCCAACAACGAACAATCCTTCCTCAGGTACAAAGGGGACGGGGCCCCAAGATTCTCTGTGTGAGATTTCTTACACTGCCAGGTGTTCAGGGAGGGGCCTTTATCATCCTCAGCCAGGGGGGTCCTGGGCCTCTCTCAACCACAAACTCTAGAATCCTGCAGGGGACTGACACAGGATTTTAAAGGGGAAGCACACGGTTCTTCCTCTGTGAAGCTTTTTGGGCCTTCTCCTTTTGAGTCCACCCTCCCCTCCTGTCTTTGCAGGCCCCCCTGCCCTCCTCTTCCTGCCTCCCGAAGGCATTGACATCCTTCCCGCCCTTCCTTTGCTCATGAATGGGGAGCGGTGGATGTGTTGCAGCCACCCCAGGCTTCACGGATTACCTCCAGCTCCGCAGTGTGGTGTGTCTGCTTTGAAAAATGTGTTTCTTTAAAACATGAGCTTGTGTTTCCAAAACACAACTGTTTAGGTTTTACTATTTTAAACTTCTCTTATTAATGAATTGTAATTTATTTTAAAGGAAAGGCATGAGAATGCCGACCTGGAGACTGGAATCCCATCAACCTTTGCACCAGGTGGGCTTTGAAGAAGAGGACGTTATATAACGGGGAGACGACAGAAGGGAAGGCCATCTTAGTTTCCATGGGTGCTCATATTTATACAGACTTCATTTCCATGTAACATTGCTTTTATCTGCCCCATCTCTTTTTTATACATGCTTTTCTTTAAAAAGGGAAAAAGGAAGAAAGGAAAAATAGGGGGGGGGGGGGGAGAGAGATAGGTGAACTCTGGTCTCTTCCAGTCAAGTCACAAAGAAAGCTAATATAATACGCTTCACTCTCTAGACCTCTCTCTATTTACTCTTTTCTCATATTATGTGTTCTTTTTCAATCGTTACTCCAGAAATCTATTCCTCATCTCTTATGTCCCTTAACAATCCTTTAAGAACTCGTGTAAATAGAAGAGGTGGGAGTGGGCATCCCTGCGGGGTCCCTTTTTGAATTTCCCATGGCTTGCCTAGGCTTCCATTTACAATCCCTTGTGCCATCTGTCTAGTGCCGTGGCTCCCAACCTTTTTTTGACCAGGGACCGCTCTCCAACATTAGTACCAAAAGGGTTACAAATCAGTTTTTGGTCAACATTAGATTTGGTTTGGTTATTTGGGGTGCTGATTCAGAAAACTGCACTAGAGAGAACACATCAGCTCTACTTTCTGATACAGAACAACATATGCCACCCAGGATTCACCATCTGCTTGTCCCAAGAAATATAATGTGCAGATTTGATATGATATATGGTTCGAATGGAATTGAATGAAAGAATGAATGGATGAGAGTTAATAATTTTGAAGACACCATTCAAAAAGATTAAGACCCACAATGACTAAATAATTAACTACCTAGACACGATGGCTCTGGAACGTCCCCTCTCAAGTAGCCAAGCTAAACCTGCTCCTTGGTCCAATGAGGATCTGGCAGCGATGAAGCGAATGAAGAGGAGACTCGAGTGTGTGTGGCGTTCAGAGCCTAGTGAGTCAAAGGGATCGTTCCCAGAGCGAAGCGCAAACAAGGCTGACTGCCTTTGGATTTCAAAGCATTCAAAAATTATTCTGCACCATGTTCATGCAATTTGACAGCCCAAACCTCCTCCAAACTCTGCCAGCTTCACTCCCAGGCCGCCTGGCATCCCTAAAGCACATACTGGACGGACACGAGCACATTTCAAAGCGTATCAAAACATAGCGTGTGACCAGCGCCATGAAAGTGCCCTGATTTTCCTTCACACACACACAAACTCACACCTATCTATTTATGAATATGTTTGTTTGAAGGGAGGGAGGAGAGAGAGAAGGGAAGAAAGGGAGGAAGGGCAGAAGGAAGAGCGGAAAGGGGGAGGAGCAGAAGTGTGGAAGGCAGGCAGGGATGAAGGAAAGGAGGAAGGAAGGAAGGAGAGAAGGGAGGAAGGAAGGAGGGAAAGAAGGAAGAAAGAAAGGGAAAGAAGGGAAAAAAGGAGCAAGAAAGGAAGAGCGTAAGGAAGAGAGGACGGGAGAAATGAAGTAAGGAAGGAGGGAGAGAAGGAAGAAAGGAAGGGAGGTGCCAATGACACAAACAGCGCAAGCATCACTCCCAGGGCTCCTGGCATCCCTCAAGCACACTTTTGAAACAAGCACCTTTCCAAACATAGCGTGTGACCTGCCCCATTCAAGTGCCCTGGTTTTCCTTCACACACACACAAACTCACACCTATCTATTTATGAATATGTTTGTTTGAAGGGAGGGAGGAGAGAGAGAAGGGAAGAAAGGGAGGAAGGGCAGAAGGAAGAGCGGAAAGGGGGAGGAGCAGAAGTGTGGAAGGCAGGCAGGGATGAAGGAAAGAAGGAAGGAGGGAGAGAAGGAAGAAAGGAAGGGAGGTGCCAATGACACAAACAGCGCAAGCATCACTCCCAGGGCTCCTGGCATCCCTCAAGCACACTTTTGAAACAAGCACCTTTCCAAACATAGCGTGTGACCTGCCCCATTCAAGTGCCCTGGTTTTCCTTGACACACACATCCATTTATCTATCAATCTGTTTGTCTGTTTTTGTGGGTGATGGATTCCCTATTGGCTCCTTCCCCCAGAGCCCTCATGACCCCCCTTTGCACCCACACACACACACAATCTATATGATTGTATGGAGAGAGGGAGGGAGAGAGGAGGGAGAGAAAGGAAGGAAGAGCGGTAGGAAGAGAGGAAGGAAGGAATGAAGTAGGGAAGGAGGGAGGGAAGGAAGAAAGGGAGGGAGTGAGAGAACAGAAGAAAGAGATGAAGGAAGGGAGCAAGGAAGGAAGAGAGGGAGGAAGGGAAGAACGGAAGAAAGGAAGAAGAGAAGGAAGAAAGGGAGGAAGGAAGGGAGCAAGGAAGGAAGAGCGGAAGAGAGGAATGAAGTGAGGAAGGAGGGAGAGAAGGAAAAAAGGGATGAAGAAAGAGAATAAGGAAGGAAGAGAGGAAGGAAAGGATGAAGGGACGGATGAAGTAAGGAAGGAGTGAGAGAAGGAAAAAAGGGAGGGAGAGAAGGGAAGAAAGGGATGGAAGGAGGGAGCAAGGAAGGAAGAGAGGAAGGAAGGAGGGAAGGAGGGAGAGAAGGAAGAAAGGGAGGGAGAGAAGGGAAGGAAGGGATGAAGGAAGGAAGGGAGTAATTAAGTAAGAAAGGAAGAAGAGAAGGAAAAAAGGAAGGGACAGAAGAGAAGAAAGGGATGGAGGGAGGGAGCAAGGAAGAAAGAGAGGAAGGAAGGGAAGGAGAAAGGAGGGAGAGAAGGGAAGAAAGGGATGAAGGAAGGAAGGGAGTAATTAAGTAAGAAAGGAAGAAGAGAAGGAAGGGAGGGAGCAAGGAAGGAAGAGAGGAAGGAAGGGATGAATGAAGTAAGGAAGGGAGAGAAAGCCCCCTCCGGAGGGGAAGAAGGAGCCCTTGACACGCAAAGAAAGGGAAGGGTTAAGGAAGGAAAGGGGGGGAGACAAGGGAGGGAGAAGGGTGGCAATGGCACTCCTAGCCCAACCCTCCCTCGCAGGGCCCTTCTGCCTTCCCTAAAGCCCACTCTGGAAGGGAAGGAAAGAAGGAAGTGAGGGGAAGGAAGGGACAAAGGGAGGAATGAAGTAAGGAAGGAGGGAGAGAAGGAAAAAAGGGAGGGATGGGGAGAAGGGAAGAAAGGGAGGAAGGAAGGGATGAATGAAGTAAGGAAGGAGGGAGAGAAGGAAAAAAGGGAGGGATGGGGAGAAGGGAAGAAAGGGAGGAAGGAAGGGATGAAGGGGTGAATGAAGTAAGGAAGGAGGGAGAGAAGGAAAAAAGGGAGGGATGGGGAGAAGGGAAGAAAGGGAGGAAGGAAGGGATGAAGGGGTGAATGAAGTAAGGAAGGAGGGAGAGAAGGAAAAAAGGGAGGGATGGGGAGAAGGGAAGAAAGGGAGGAAGGAAGGGAGGAAGGGGTGAATGAAGTAAGGAAGGAGGGGGAGAAGGAAGAAAGGGAGGGATGGGGAAGGAAGAAGGAAGGGAGGAGGAGAGGAGGAAGGGATGAAGGGGAGAATGAAGTAAGGAAGGAGAGAGAAAAAAGAAAGGGAGGAGGAGGAGAAGGAAGGGATGAAGGGGAGGGAAGAAGGAGGGGAGAAGGAAGGAAAAGGGAGGGAGGGGGAGAAGGGAAGAAAGGGAGGGAAGGAAGGGATGAAGTGTGGAATGAAGTAAGGAAGGGGTGAGAGAAGGAAGAAAGGGATGAAGGAAGTGGGTAAGGAAGGAAGAGTGGAAGGAAGGGATGAATGAAGGAAGGAAGGAGAGGAGGAAGGAAGGGGGGGAGACAAGGGAGGGAGAAGGGTGGCAATGGCACTCCTAGCCCAACCCTCCCTCGCAGGGCCCTTCTGCCTTCCCTAAAGCCCACTCTGGAAGGAAGGAAGGAAGGAAGGAAGGAAGGAAGGAAGGAAGGAAGGAAGGAAGGAAGGAAGGAAAGGAGCCCCTTCCCAAAGAGTGTGTGGCCAGCCCGGAGTTCCCTCGGGGCCTTCTCCTCCTCCTCCGCCCACAGGCCCACTGAGGTGGACTCAGGTTGACCCAGGGAGAAGCGCAGGCCCCAAGGGGAGGGTTAGTCAGGAGCCCTTTGAGGAGGCCACCCACCCTTCCGGGGCTGATTCCCAGGCTGAGCCCCACTCCCCAGCACAGGCCACAGGCCTCAGGCCTCGGGCCTCCCCCTCCTCTTCTCTGAGGGAATCCCACGAGCAGGCCGCCGAGGAGTGTCCTCCCTCCTTCCTTCCTTCCTTCCTTCCCTCCCACACTCCCGAGTGGGCCTTCCTCCCCTCCCCTCCCACTCCACCTGGGAAGAAGCCTGGCTGCCTCTCCCTCCTTGGCTAGGCCCAACCGGAAGAAGCGCCGCTCTCTCTCACTTCCGCCCCCCGCGGAGGCCTCCCCCCCTTCCCTCGGTCAACAACGGCCTGGCCGTGACGTCACCCAGAAGCCCTACTTCCGCCCGGCGCTGTCATGGCGGGAGGAGGAGGCGTGTGTGCCCAGAGAGGGGCGGGGCTTGGCCTTAAAGGAGCCGCACTGCAGGAAGGAGGCTGGGAGGCAGAGCTAGGCTGCAGCTCCTCCCCCTGGCCTGGCAGGGAACACCAGGCTGTGGGGGGACTTCAGGGAGGGAGTGAGGCTCCTCTCTCTCTCTCTGGGGAAGAAGGAAGCTCTCCTAGACACAAAAGGCATCCTTGTGTTCCTATGAGTTGTTTTCCTGGCTGCCTGGCCAGGTCCCAGAAGCATTCTCTCCTGGCATTTCGCCTCCATCTCTCTCTGGCTAAAGCAGTGGTTCTCAACCTGGGGTCCCCAGATGTTTTTGGCCTTCAACTCCCAGAAATCCTAACAGCTGGTAAACTGGCTGGGGTTTCTGGGAGTTGTAGGCCAAAACATCTGGGGACCCCAGGTTGAGAACCACTGGGCTAAAGGCATCCTCAGAGGTTGGGAGGGAGGCCTCTTGCAAACTGGGCGAGTGGGGTCGACATACATAGAATCATAGAATCAAAGAGTTGGAAGAGACCTCATGGACCATCCAGCCCAACCCCATTCTGCCAAGAAGCAGGAATATTGCATTCAAATCACCCCTGACAGATGGCCATCCAACCTCTGTTTAAAAGCTTCCAAAGAAGGAGCCTCCACCACACTCCTTCCGGGGCAGAGAGTTCCACTGCTGAACGGCTCTCACAGTCAGGAGTCACAGTCATAGTCACAGTCATCCCTGTGGAGGGATGCCCAGGCTGGGAGAGAGGAAGGAAGAACTCCTGCCTGTTGGAGGCAAGCGTGGATGTTTCCATTGATCTCCTTGATTAGCATTAGACTTGCAGGTCCAAAGCCTGGCTGCTTCCTGCCTGGCTTCCCACAGATATATCCATCCCACTTGCCTGCTTTCCCACAGACCTCACCCCTCTGAGGATGCCTGCCATAGAGAGTTGTGGGCAGGAATGCTTCTGGAAGATGGCCACGCAGCCCGGAAGACTCACAGCGACCCAGTGATTCCGGCCATGGAAGCCTTCGACAACAAAATGCAGAATATCAATGGCTGATAATGTGAAAACTCGGTGAATGCAAAACCCAGAGACTCTGTGGCCAGGACTGGGATTTCCTCTGGATGAGAAGAGGCCTCTCCCTTTCCAGGAGACCTTCTCTCGTGGCCTGGCCAGGCTCTGAGTGCTCAGGAGGCGAGGAAGGGGATGCGGGGAGAGACACAGGGCGCATAGTTCCACTCTTTGGAAGCCCCTGAAAGACTCAGGAGGACCTGGCAAGGGAACCCCAAACCTTTCACAAATGTATTGAATTATATTTTGGGGCCTGCTGTATTCAGAGTGTCTCAAATGTATGGTGAAGGCACCTGGTCCCCTTCCCTTCTATGTACATACAACCCTGGGAACGGAGAGTCCTCTACCCTCAGCAAATATCCCTCTAGCGCTCTCCCAGCCTAGACATGGAATCCCTTTTGTGTGAAAGTAATAGACAGACAATCCCTTTATCAGTTGGGCTGTTTTGCACTCTTTACCTGGCCAGGTGTGTCCAGATGTCTAGGATTCCCACAGATGAAAAGGCTAAACAAAGATGAATAAACTAGCCTTTGGAATGGGTACACAGCCCTCTGGCTCTGTGGCATGATCCCCTTTTGTCTTCTGTGCCTGGCACTGTTGTCTTCTTCGGAATTAGACATTAAGTGAATCAAGGAAGCATCTACTTTATTTATTTCCAAAATTTCCAACGCTAATCTGCACACCCACGCCATCACCCTCCTCTGTTTTGCCCCCTCCGCAGGGTGTCCTCGCAACGGAATGGACCTTCAAACCCTCCAAGAATTGGCCGTTCTTCCTGCCATGGGGAACCTCTCCTTCCCACTGTGATGCCAACGGAACCCCCACCAATCATGACACGGGTACTAGCTGCTCATTTCAATCAATCAGGAGAGAGGTCTGAATAGCCGTGAAAGTGTATTGAAAGTCATTATTTTCTCTGTGAAGTTATGCTTGTACATCTTCGAGTGGTATCCATTTTGGCCAAATTGCGATGAACCTCTGTTGTTGGCCTTCAAACCTGAATAAATTGTTCTCTTTTCTGGCCGAACTGACTTAGTGGAACCTCACCAGGTACCTTAGGTTACTGGGTGCTGTTTTAAGTATAAGTAATTGTTTTATATGCTTGTGGTTTTCTCTTTTATTGCATTGTTTGTTTATTCTTTGCGTTGTTCCAGGCACATTGTGCCATATGTAAGCCACCCCAATTCCCTTCAGGGAGATGGAGGCAGAGTACAAAAAAATTAGTTATTACTACGTATATGTGGTTTCTCCTGAAATCAATACAAAAGGAGAGGAAGTGGGGATCCCAGGAAAAGACATCCCCCCTCAGGAGGCCCAAGACCCAGAACAACCCAAATTCCCCAAATCTATAAACAACCAGAGCCTCCCTTTACCTGACCTCCCTCCAAGACTTTTGAAGTTTTCTTGTGGGGAAGGATTATGGGAGCTGGAGTCCAAAAAAGTAACTTTGGATGAATGATGTCAAAACACAGGACTCTTTATTACATTTTGGACATTGGGTTAATATATACTTGATCGACTGCTGCCATCAGAAGTGACCAGTAAAGGGTGAAGCGGTGGCAGAGAATCAATGCATATTTTCCTTGTTTCGTTCTAAAGCCTTGTCTCCATGGATGAACACAAACATATGCAATCCCATGAGGAAGAAAGCCTTTCATTGCAAGGACTTGGGAGACCTCTTTGTCTTGGACTACAACTCCCAGGGTCCTCCAACCCCCATTCCAGGACTTTTTGTAGCGTTTATTGAGAGTTGTAGTCCAAGACAGCCATTCCTCCCACTCTCTGGAGCAGGGATTCCCAAACGATTCCTCCAAGATTTCTTGGACTTTGACACACTTCAGCTGCCTTGGTCCAAGATGAGGGATTGTGGGACATGGAGTCCCCAGGAAGTGGAAGGCCAGGGCTTGGGAAGGGAGGCTCCTGAGAAGGGACAATGCTGAACAGCTCTTCCCACCAGGGAATGCTTCCTAATGTTTAGGTGGAAGCTTCTTTCCTGTAGTGTGACTCAGTTGCTTTATATTTTAGTCTCCAGAGAGGTAGGAAGAACTTGCCCTTTTCTCCTCAATGGGACATCCTTCCAAATATTGGCTCTCCTGTCCACTCAGCCCCCCCCCCCCCCCAAACTAAACATCCCCGGCTCCCTCAGCCATTCCCTATCGCTCTTCTCTGGAGACATTCTAGCATCTAAAAATCTTGCTTGAGTTGTGCAGCCCAGAACTGGACGCAGGGCCATTCCAGGGGAGGTCTGATCCAAATCTAGAAGAGAGTCGGCTCAAACTTTCCCAGATCTAGACCTCACCCTCCCATTGGGACAGCCTTGAATCACAATGGCTTCTTAAAGCTTATGTATCACACTTTAAAAAAACAGTATTTATTCATTGACAAAAAAGAAAAACAAAACAGAGTATGTTTATACAAATTATAATTTTGGTACATTTTTTAAGGTACTACTTAACAAATATAAAGCGAAGAAGGAGATACACCTTGCACAATAAGAGCGAAACTAACAGACAACACTAGTCTATAAACCTCTCACTATACAATTTTTATCTCTGTTCCTTTAAATGCTGTTCTATACTTCATCAATTTAGTTAATTTGTCCATCTCGATTAATTCATGAATCTTCATAAGCCGTTGTCATCATTCTTTGTCTTCCATTCTCTGGAGTTAGGGAGATATGCTGTGCATCCTAATGGATCCTTTGCCAAAGGTGGTGATTAAACAGTATAAAATAAAAAGCAACAGATATCTATGTATCAATGTATAAGTGTTAAGTTGTTCAATAACTAAATCAATTATAACACTGATATCATATACAGTAAGATTTTATTGTATCAGTACCATGGGCAAAATCTATATAAACATCAATTATTCAATCAAGAAAAACATCCTTATAAACATTAAACAATAAGTTCTCATTCACAACATGTTGTGAGTTCTCAACAGTTCCTCGCTATCACTTTTTTGGAATGTTACCCCTTCTTTGCTATTTCATCCATTTAAGTTGATATCTTCCAAAGAATTAACAAACTAGATTCAAAAGGACAACAAAAGTAGATATGCTATAATAGCACCTAGATACATTAACAACAATCATTGTGCGGAATTAAAAACACTTACTTTCTCCAGAGGAGTGAATGGCTCTGCTCTGCTCAAAGACTTCCCATAGCCGTGAGTTTGCAGGTTTTCCAAGTGCGAGCAAAAACCCACGGAGAAGCCTCCCTTTATAAAGATACAGGTCAATAGCAGAAAACAAGAGAGATCTAATCTATCGTTCAACCCACCTGGGGAAACGGTATGTAACCTAAATATCCAAAAAAGCCTCTCTCTGAAGTAAAATTCTCTGTAAGTCTTGGTGGGGTTGTGTGGTTACCATTCCTAAAAAGCGCCAAATCTGAAGCTAGTGTGCGAGTGGGATTTCTCACTGAAATGGGAATAAAGAGTAGATTAAATGGCTTTATTGCTAAGAATTCTAATTTTTAAAGGTCTGGAGGTCATGACTACATATAGCAGCGAACATGGACATTGTATGACATACATCACCTTCTCTGTACTGCATTTGGTGAAACTACAAAGTTGTATGTTGAGTTGCATTGTGGGGTGTGAGAACTGTTTTACTTTAAGAGATTGAATGCAATATGCCCAATGCCCACAACTTGCCTCCAAGATTAGATTTGCTGCTAGTAAAGGGGGTTGTGAAGTCAGATCTGATCATCATAGCCCTAAGATTTTGGGTTCGTTTGRTGGCTATCATTGGTACATTCTTGCATCCTGGAGTGTCACTGACCAAGTGTCAGTGCTTTCTAATTATTTTCCTGATGTGTGGAAAATATGTGGTTAACCTAAGTGGCCATATAATACGGTCATTAGGTTTCCTCACCATATCACTCAGTAAATCATTTCTATCTGTGAACTTAACTTTTCTAATAGCAGTATTGATTATACTTGTGGGGTGCCTTTTTTCTTTGAATTGTTTCTCAAAAGTAATGACCTCTGGTGTGACCTCCTCGGGGGGCAGTGGTGTTTTCGTTTTAATCTCTTTAAAGTGTGGCATAGGGTAAGCTGGTGTTTAAACTATGATGGTGGTAGGTTCTTGTGGG